CCCCCCCATGGGTTACATGGAACACCAGCCTTGTACCAGGATGGGCAACTGCATGAGGGTGGCTGGGGTGGAGCCCAGCTAGGGGCCAACAGGCCATATGGTGGGCCAGAGCCCAAGATCTGTATGAGGCAATTTGGGAGCTTTAGGAGGACATTGTAGGTCCATGTAAGCTGAAGGGAAAGTCCAGAGTCTGCCATCAGCCAGAGGCCCCGGCACTGCAGAGTAGTGTCCCTTCCTATTGGAAGGTGCAGGGGTTAATTGAGGTGATCAGATACTAGCTAGGGACAGCAGGTCAAATGCTGCTGCACAAACCCAGGATAGCCCTGCAGACTCGTAGGCTACAACCCAGTTGCTAGTTCATCTGGGAGAATGCATTCCTCTTCTTTCATGATTTCAGCTCCCTACACCCTCTGGAAGACCATACAAGAACACTCTGGGGCAGGGTGGCCCTTTCCTGTTAAAAGGAGACTTTGGGCAGCTGGTGTCCATCCTGACTGTTTCCTCTCTTTCCTCCAAATATCTGTACTGATTTCATAGAGCAGAGGTTGTTAACATCTGAAGTGTAGGTTTTAAGGTCAGAATGCTTTTCCATTCTGGTTTGGAGGGGAAGAAAATGCCACAAAGTTTTCTTGCCACTCTTGGTGTTGGGCAGACTTCCTCCTTATAGTGAGATGATTATAGTTTTCTTTCTCCTGTCTGTTGGCGGGAAGGAGTAAGAATATGATAAGTTGGCCATGGTCAAGATGGGATGGCAAAGTGTGTGGGGGGCCAGTGGTAAGGACCCAGCATGAGCAGAGTGAGAATTTGAAGAACAGGGTGCTCAAGAACATGAAAGCTATCAGGGTTTGGCCACTGAGAATTGAGAGGGACGGAAATTCCCGATCAGGTGAAGATTTGATTTGGAGATACCTCTCCAGGCTGAGTTCCTTGAGGGCAGGGGCTCTGTGACTATGTTAGACTCACCTCTCTTCCCCTACTGTAGCTGAATGAGCTGAGAATCACACAGGGACACATGTACTGGCACTGCTGTTTTCCAAATGGGAGCTAGGGCTGAGGTAGTGTCTGGAGGCCTCAGTGATAGGCCTGTTTTTCCTGAGAGTGATGTACAAGAGAACTTCCTGTCAAGGTCTGGGAGTCCCCTGGATGAGAGCATGTTGGGAGCTCACCTGGAAATAGCTCTGGGTGGGTCTTGACTCCCATCAGAACTAAGGGCTATTCTAGTTGGTGGAATGTCTTAGGTCTTTGGTTAAATTCCAAAGAGCCTATTCCTGATCCTAACTCTGATCCTGGACTCTCTTTGTGAGGACTTGCAGGGAAAATAGTTCTGAAGCCCTGCTCTGGTTATCCAAAAACCTTTCTGGGTGGTCAGGAGGAACTGGGGGCCTAGGCCTGGGCTGGTATTATGGGAGCTGGGGCCTGTTTAGGAGAGGTCAGAACCAGGTTTGGTTGACCTTCCCATTTGAAACTAGATATAGCAAGGGGGGTCTGGGGGACTTGGTACTGTAAGCTGGAGCGCTAGCCAGCCGAGTTCCCAGCAGTGTGGTGAGATTAGAGAGAAGAGGGCACAGTTACACCTTGCCCATGAATGGCAGCAGACCTGGATACCATGAGAGATGTAGCTTTTCAATCAGGCTTGTTTTAGAGGCTCAGGGGGTGGGGGGTGGGGTTGGGCTGGGCTAGGGAAGGAAGGATCATTTTTGTTGTCCCTCTGAGAATTTGATTACCTTTAGGAATCTTAAAGGGGCCTCTAAGGATTCTTAAGTTTTCTGGTTAATTCCTTAGACTCAAGCCTATGGGTTGGTTGTCCAGAACATTCCTCCGGGGCTCCATCTTCTGGAGTTGTTTCCTTCATATTCCAGGTCCTGACTTCCTATAAGGCTTGGCCAATGTAGGAAGTCATGTAGGTTCAGGGGTACCCTTGGGTGGGGATGGAAGGGTCCTAGCAACAAGAAGGCGGTGCTGTTTCTAGGGCTCTCCTTAGCTTTGGGGGTAAGCTCAGACCTCCCTTTAGACCTTAGTCCTTGAGCACCTGCTTTGTCCCAGGCATTGGGGTAGTGCTAGAGACAAAGATAAATAAGATGTATGTTAGCGAGATATAGAAGATGTTTTAAGAGGACAAAGGCAAGATGGCTAACTCAGCTGGGTAGAATGGTAGAGGTGGTCGTAGGAAACTGTTAGAAGGTGAGGCCTGAAGTTGAGAAGGCATGGAAAGGCACTGTAGGTGCTGAGGGTAGCATGGGCTAAAGCATGAGAACTGCAGTGGTTCGGTGTGGGCGGTTGTTGGAGTGGGTAAGAGAGCTGGAGGGATGAGCAGACACCAGATCATGAAGGGCCTAGAAGTTTGAACTTTATCCTGAGAGTGATAGGGAGCCTTAGGAGGTTGTAAAAGGGAAGTGACTTATCTGGTCCAAGCCACTGTCCTGAGCTCTGGTCCCACACTTCTGCTAGCCCCTGTCTCTCTGCTATTCACCACTGTATTCCCAGCATCCAGCACAGAGCCTGGCACATAGTGAGGGTATGGGAAAATTTTGTTGCTCTTCTGCCACCTTCTCAAACTCATATTGTCCCAAACTGATCTCACTTCTCCTCCTTTCCTCGCCCCTTCTTCCTCTCAACCTCTTCCATCTTGACCCATGCCCACCATCTCCTTGCCTTTCCTGTCTTGGAACATGTGTTCATCCTGTGGTGCCCAGCTGCCAGTCTGCCCTGAGAGACTGGCCTTTGGGCTGTGGGGAACATCTGGCACCCAAATGGCTCATTAGGGGAAAGTTCTCTAACTGTCTGGGGCACAGTTCTCCTTGAGTGCTTCCTCTCTCCAGTCTAAGACTTGAAAGTAAATGAAAGCAGGTAAAATAATGAAAACCACGATAAGGAAACCAAAGAAGCAGATTGTACAAAAGAAAAGATTTGGTTGAATGCACCAACTAGGACAAAGCATGACTCAGTATCTCAACTGAAGAGGTTAAAATCTGCCAGCAGTGCTCATTCTTCTCTTCATCCTACTCCTAAATTATTTTGTTTGTGTTTTGAATAGGTAATATATGCACCTGGTACAACATTCAAAAGGTACAAAAGGCAGTGAAAAGTAAGTCTTCCTCTTCCCTCGTTTCCTTCCAGTCCTCACTTCCCCTTTCCACAGCTGACTAGCAACTAGCTGTTAATGAGTGTCTTACATTCTCTTCCCTTCCTGAAAGACTCTCCTCTGCGCCTTTGCGACTTTACAGACTGTCCTGGCTTTCTTCCTGCCCACAGCCCACTCCTTCTCTGCTTCCTTTCCTGGCGTCCCCTCTTCTTGATCAAACATATTGTGGGGCCCCAATGCTTGGTCCTGGGACAACTCCTTTCTTATCTCTCCATTCTCTTGCTAGGTGTCTCCAGCACAATAGTTTTAAGTACTGCCTATAAGTTAATGCCTTCCAAGTGTATTCAGTGAGTCCTAATGTCTTTGAATCTCAGACTTCACATCCAGCTGCTTACTTGACATCTCTGATTAGATATCCAAGAAATGTCTCAAACTTAGCATGTACAAATCCGAACAAAGCTAAACATAAAAATCTCTTCAATTCCCATTTCACCTCTCCCAGCCCAAGTCCTTTCTTTCTCTAGTCTTTTCAGTAAAAGGCACAGCTGCTCACCGATTGCTCAAGCTCCGCATTTAGGTGCCTACTTGAATCTTCTTTCTCCCGTACTTCTCTCCAACCAATCCATAAAGAAAAGTCTTGTTGGTGCTACTTCTAAAGCATGCCCTGAATGCATCTACTTCTCTCTCTTTCCACTCTTAGCACACCTACCCTCAGCGTTCTCCTGGGCCACCTCAGTAACCTTTAAGTGGTCTCCCTACTTCCACTCTTGTCCCCTGTAGTCTGTCCAGGATTCATTTACAGCCATGTTGACTGCTGCTGACCAACAGTGGGCCAGGAGCTGTACTGGGTACTGGGATATTCCCACAGAGAAGGCCAAGTGTTTTAGGCCATCTTCAGTCTGAAAGCCCCATCCAGAGCCTGGGACTGGCCCCCTGCTTAGGCCTTTCTAAAGAAACCCAGCCCACCCATACTAGGACAGTCTAAGAATCAATCTAGGGCCTTCTGTTCCAGCTTCTTTCAGACTGTTTCCCTCACCACTTCTCACTTTTGGCCCTCTTGGTTTCTCAGGTTTCCTGGCTTTGACCCTGTTCCTTCCATGGCTGCTGATGTTGACTCATTTCACTTGGCTTCTGCCTTGGCCGTTCTTGAGGACTTGCATTTTGGTGCCCTTTCTCTAGCCCCACCACACGGTGAAGGTTGCTGCATCTCTGCACCTTCCCTAGTCTCCACTGACTGAACACTCCCCTCTGCAATAGGGAGGGGTTGGGTATGCGCCTTATACAGTTTAAGGAAAGAGCACATCTTAACCATTGAGGTCGTAGCCAGTGATCCTTCAGTTAAGCCAATAGCAAGCAAAGTTTTTCTTGCCCCATACTACCCAACAAGGAAATGGGCCACCTCCTGAGCATGGGCTGCCACCCTCAAGGATCCTTCACCTCAAGATTACTGTGGGTGATTCCTGTCGTAGGAAGTGGGGTTGATGAAATGACTTGCAATAGTAGTTCTGGTCCTTAGGGTTTCACACCAAAGATGAGGGACATCTGCTTTGGATATCAGAGATTGAGGCCCCTGAGCAATGAGGTGGATTTAGGAGCTTGCTGAAGGAGTACTCTTTTTGATACCCATTCTTTAACTCAACAGATATTTTTTTAGCACCTAGTGTTTGCCAGGTAGTGTACTACGCATTGGGGATGCAGTGATGCAAAAATTATAGGAAAATTCCAGGCAGAGGGTAACGGGATTTTCTGGCCTGGCATCCATCAAGGCCTCCTTCCAGCTTTGTGGAGTTTTGCTGGAAGTCTGTGCCTTGGCTGGCTTGTTCCATGGCATGGAAGTCAGTGGGATGTCAGAACATGGAACTTTCATCCCAGAACAAGGCTTAGAGATATGTCTGGGTCAGAATAAACATGTAAGTGAACTGTGGCCTCTAGTTTATTGGGCCAGCACAGGGTCATATGTCCTTCAGAAGATCAGAGAACCCTAATCAGGAGGCCCCTCCTCCTCTCAACTGCTACAGTTGCAGGGCTTAGATAGCTGCAAATGCTGCAGAAAGGAACCAGAATAAATGGAACTGTGCTCACTGAAGAATGCTGAGGCTGAGTGGGCCAGGGGTGGTGTCAACTGAGTAGAGAAGGGTTAGGGATCTGATCCAGAGCAACTCAGGGAGATGGGGCTATTCTTAGCCTGAGGCAGAAGAAGCAGATGTGCCTGTGGGTCCCTGAGGCAGAGCAGTGGGAGGGGAGATGGAAGACAGGCTTTGGCTTCATAAAGATCAGAGCTGCCCTCAGCTGGGTTGTTTCATTTCTTCATTCATTGATTCAGCAAACTCATCTGTAAAGTATATACTTTACATTAGGCTCTGTGTCTGAGAAAACAAAAATTAACTAAGACCAGGTTCCTATTCTCAAGTTGCTTACAGTCTGGAGGTGGCCTGGGAGGTAAAGAGTGGCCTTTCTCTGGGGGTATTAAAACAGAGGCTGGACACAAATACTTGGAAAGGACAGTGTGGAATAAGGGAAATTAAAGATTCACATTGTAGGGGAAGGAGGAGGTTTGGACTGGAGGCCTTTATGGAGCTTTCCAATGCCCAAAGAGAGCCAGTGTTGTAAGTTCCTGAGGGCTTGGTGGGGGATTGAGGTGATTTGAAATTACCTGAGGGGGTATTCAGGAATGCTCAGGAGGAGGGGTTAGATTGGAGGAGCAGGCAGGGCCTGATTGTCAGAGGGGCCTGGGTTTGAATCCCAAACCTCAGCATTAGCTAAGAATCACAGTAGATCTACAGACCTAGGAAGGACAGAGGTAATTGGGCAGGAAGGACCCAGAACTTAGAGAGATCTCAGTCACTGCCCTGGGAGCAGAAGGCCAGAGGAGGTTTGTCTCTCCCATCAGCAGGTTCTGTTCACCTTGTTTTAGTAGCACCCTTGCTGTCTCTCCCCTCCCACCACCCTTGCTTTTGTCTTAGGGTCTCCAGGATGAGTGTCAGTACCTCCTTCAGCCGCAGCTGATTGTCCGGCGTTTACTGGATGTTGCTGTGTTGGTGCCTGGCCGTCCCTCAGAGCAAACTCTCTCTCCCCACAATCACTCAGCCCTATATAAGTAAGTCAAATCCCCCCTACACCTTGCACTTTTCCTCTTCCTTCCCTGGCCTCAAACAGGGAAGTGTTCTCTTGGCCTCTAAGCCTACCTACCTGCTCCTGTTCTCCCATTGGCCAAGCTGGACTGCTGGGCCACCCAGAGCCCTCAGGGTGGGTTGGAGCCCTGCCTCCCTCTCTCCCAGCACAGAGGGGAGGACCTGAAAAGGCTCCTATTCTCCTGTGTACCTTACTCCTCCTTGCCCCCTTCTTCCTAGTGTTTCCCTCATTCTGGTGTCCCTCGCACCTTTCCATATCCTGTTTTCTTACCCCTAAACTCTCCTCTGCCCAGGGTCTTTGTGCCCAGCTTCACTTACAGGGTTTCAGCACAGCTGGTGTGTATGGGGGGCCGTGGGGCATCCGCCTGCCCCCTGACACTTCGCCTACGTCCCAAGGCCCCACCCCTGCACAACTCAAGCTCTGTGGCATGTGGAGGTGCCTCAGTATGCCAGCTGGAGCTAGCACTGCCCCCTTGGGGGCGCTGGGTCTACGTGCGTGTGGAGACATCTCGGGGCTCTGGCAGGACCATCCGCTTCCAGCTGTGTGTGCGGTTGCAAGGTCAGAAGCTCCACATCTGTCCCAGCCACCCGACCTGTGTTGACATCTGTGACTGGAAAGAGGCAGGCATGCTGGCTGTGTCCCTTGCCCCTCTGCCATGTCCCTACAATCTCCCTGACCCCACTCCAGCTCCTTCATACTCCCTGAAGCCCTTCGACTTGGAGCATCAAGTTATTGGAAGGCCTTCAGATAATTTTTCCACCACTTGGGGCTCACTAAGGGACCTTAATTTAATCTCTCTTTCAGTTTCCTGGGGTAGGCAGGACCTTCGGGACACTGGCCTTGTAGAAGCCCATGCAAGTCAGTGAGAGGGCTGTCACCTGTTTCAGCAGTATCCTTAGGGAGGGAGAGATGACCTTAATTTCCTCCAACCTGACATTCTATTGGCTGTGACCACTAGGAAAGCCCTGGGCCCTATCCTGTGACCCTGGATGCCCCACACTCCCAAGGGCATGATTCTAGTTCTCACCCCTCCCGCCCTTTGCTAAGTTCTATCTGGCTCAGATCTGGTTTGTGGTGGGGCTGAAGGGATGTGAGGGGGGCAGGCCTTAGCTCTGATTTCCTTTGTCCCACAGAGTGCCCGAAGCCCAGCCTGTCCCGTGCCCTGGTCCCTGGAGCTGCCATGAACATGCCCCAGTCGCTGGGCAATCAACCACTGCCCCTAGAGCCACCATCCGTTGGGGCTCCTGTGGAAGCGCCTGGGGTCAGATCTCCACCTGAGCACTGCTGGCCAGTGCGCCCGACTCTGCGCAATGAGCTGGATACCTTCTCCATCCATTTCTACATCTTCTTTGGCCCCAGCGTGGCCCTGCCCCCTGAGCGCCCCGCTGTGTTTAGCCTGAGGTTGCTGCCAGTGCTGGACAGCGGAGGTGTCCTTAGCCTGGAGCTCCACCTCAATGCGGTACTTTGTGGAGAGTGGGGAGGTTGCTCCTATGGGGGATCTCAAGGTGACGGGTGTGGAAGCCTACATAGGTTGCTTTCACCCAACTTTATGATTAGAGACCATGTCTCAGCCCAATTCTGGTCAACAAACATGCGCTGGGTATTGACTCTACTACGAATGGGCTGGGTCAGCCAGGGTAATTCAGAGTGGTCCAGATTTCTCCAGTTTTATAGCCTAACCTCCCTCTTACTAAGGGCCTCTCTCTATGGCAGGTGTTCAGTTTTTTGCATATCTCCAGTGATGGGGAGTACGCCACCTCTTGAGGCCCTGAAGTCCATATTTAGACACTCCAATTGCTAATGGCAGTCCCGACATTCCACGCAAACCTGCCTCCGTGGATTTTTACCCACTGATCTTTGTTTTGCCCCATAAGCTGTATTTCAGTAAACCTACCCCAGTCCCTTTTTTAAAAACAAAGTTAATAGACTTGATTTTTCAGAGCAGTGTTAGGCTTATTGGAAAACTGAGTGGAAAGTACATAGAGTTTCCATATCCCCCCTCTTTCCTGCACAGTTTCCCCAGTTATTCGCATCTTATATAAGCGTGGTGCATGTTACATCCCTATCTTATTTTAGCAGCTCTTCAGATGCCCCTCAACCTTCTGAAAGCTGAATAATATCAGCATCTTAGACCTCTCCTTGACCTCCACTGTCTCCTCTGGTCAAACTTCTGGTCATCATGTCTCTGAAATAAGTGATCCGAGGTAGTCTGACCAGGGTGGCAGGCGGCATGTGTGCAACCTGAAATTAAATTACCTCTTTCTGCTGCTGCATCACACTGATCTCGTGGGGCTTGGGTGAATGAAGAACTCTGGGTCTTCTTCGTTTCCTTCCTTTTTATTTTCTTCAAAACAATTGTATTCATTTACTTTTTAATTATAAAAAGAATAGAATCACATGTAAAAGCTTTGGGAAGGAGAGGAAGACATCCTCATAACACAACTGCTAAAGCCTTTTGGTGTGCATCTTCCCAGTCCTTTTCCACATTAACTGCGGTATTTATCTAGTTGTAACCAAGGGGCATACATAATTTTGTGCCCTGAGCCTATTTCATATGACCTGCTGCTAATTCACAGCTCATATTTTTGCAGTGGACTTTTTAACCCGAATGGAAGAATTTATGTTCATCTTTGAGGCATTGCCTAATGATGCCGGTTTGGGTCTTGGGCTTTCTCCACTATGTGTAATTCACACATTTGAAATTAGTCATTAATTTCCAACCTCTTAGTCATTATTTTCAGTATTGAATAAGACTGGGCTGAGGGCAGAGCCCTGTGTCAGGCCATTAGCAATTGTCTTAGGTTGGCATTGATCCAATAAGGATCCCTCAGCCAGTTCTCCTTTTAATTCTACTGTCCCCCAGCTCTGGGGCCAGGGACCATTTTCCTATGAGGTGACCTGAGACCTGGTCTGTGGCTTGATGTGATCTTTTATGGGACATGGCTCAGAACTTTCAAATGGTCCTGCTGGTCAGGACAGCTGATTCTTCAGCCTGAAAGTGTTCCTTATTTTCATTCTCAAATTCTGTCTGACTCTGTTCTGGCTAAAACTGTATGTATTTTATGTTTGCTTATTGCTATGCCTTTGGGCAATGACAGTGAAGCCTTGATTTGATCTTGAAGCTGTAGAGCCCATATCGGAGACCATATGCACCCATACTTGTTCTTCCTCAGTGTCCTGAGAGTAGAGGCCCAGCCCCCTGCAGCCCCTCACCCTGTCCCTCTCTGCATTCTTGTCCATTTACTCTAATGGGCATCTGCTTACTTTCCATCTATTTGCATGCTATGACCCTTGCTATCCACCTCAGACAGTTGTATGTATTCTGAAAGGTATATTGGAACATCTACTCTGATTTTTCCAAGTATTTTGACACAC